GTAGAGATGAAAACTTAATTATTTTCTTGTATGAAAGATATCTGCAATTTAAATGACTAATTGTATTATAGCTTTAGGCTAAATATATTGGTAACACAAATGTTGATGACATGTGAAGGGTCAAGGAATTTATAATTTTGATGAGGGGCTGCTTAAAATGAAGTGGCAAAGAGCCAGAATATTTCAGTTTAATAATTGTCTATTAAGTCAACATGACACACTTTGTACAGTATTTTTACCTCCAGGTAAAGATTAAGGATCTGATGTAGCTAGAGAAAGTGACATGCATACATGAATCTTGGGCATAATAGCGAATGAACTGACACTACATTTCCAGTAATTTGTCTCAATATGTAAAACACTCTGTTGGTTACATTTGAAAAGACTTGTACAAATGTCACAATGCAAGCTGGGAGAGGAAGGCTCCACAGCTGAATGATAACACTAGTTTCTTGGAGACCCTTGACAGTTTAGTGAAGCATTAGCTTGAATGAAGATATGAGTTTTCCTAAAATAATCTCAGGCACTTTTCATTGGCAGATTTTTCTTGAGACTTTTCATCCCAATAGGAGATTTCCATCTGTTGTGTAGTTGGTGTAAGCTTACAAGGGTAACAAAACATAGTGCGATCTAATTGTAGTGGTGCTTGAGTCAAACTAAAACAGTAGGAGTTCAAAATATATTTACAACTTTACAATCTCTTTCCAACTATGTGTATTTGATTGTTTTAGCCTTCTGGTTTCATTGCTGCATGCAAAATCTTAACCATGCAGCTATTCCACTCCTAATTGGGACAGGGGGAATTACCACATGAGACATCTTGGCTTCATTGAGTTCAATTATTTTACTTTCTATTAATAAAAGGGGGGTTCGTACTCAAGGTTTTTCAATATCAATGATAAAATAGCATACATGTAAGCAATGGCAAGATTGTTATTGATTCAAGAACTATGCCTTCAGACCCCTGGTGCCTTTCTGGGAGAAAGATGGAAAATAAATGATGGTGATGACTATAGAAAACCTGACCAGGTAGAGACAAACGGAGAAACTTAAGATCTAAAAACCACTGTATAAATGGTTTACCTGTGGAATGTATCTCCGTCTATGAGCTGGCAAGGAGATGAAGATCTTCTGAGGAGGCCCTGTACTTGATTTCGCCTCCTTTGCAAGTGTGGTTGGCAGGAACGAGAGACAGGGCCTTCTCAGTGGTGGCCCCTCAGCTATTGACCTCCCTCCCGAGTGAAATTAGATCAGCCCCCTCCTTCCTGATATTTAGGAAAAGACTAAGAACATGGATGTCCTACCAAGTATTCAATGAGTAATCTGTCAGTGTAATAAGAAGAGATGAAATAGTGCAATGATAAATTGGACCGGTCACGGACTACGATATTTGATTGCATGATTTTAAATATTTGGTTTTAAGATTTCTATTATATTTTAATGCTTTTGTTTATTATTTGTGGTTTTGGTATCTAATTGTTGCCTATATATGTAAGCTGCCCTGAGTCCCCTACGGGGTTGAGAAGGGTGGGCTATAAATACAATAAACAAATAAATACAATGTCACTCTCCTTCCATTTAACTCAGCCTCAGTCAGGATGCCTGTCTGCATTTAAGGAACTAAGGAACAAAACCAGCACCATCTGTTCCACTCATAGGCCAAAAGTACTAAAAACTAGCATGTTGCCACTTGATTATTACATAGATATAGTATAAAACCTATTTGAAATTAAGTACATTCAACTTTATGAAGAGGTGGGTTTGTTATCTAGTGATGGAAAAAATAGGAATAAAATCTATAAAATATATCAAGTAATACTTGAGAAAAGGCATAGTCGGGAAAAAGTGATAAAGCTTTACTAACCCTAGCTTCACTTACGTAAATAGGGTACTCACTGGAGCAAAACATTGGAAGCAAAGTAACAAAATACTGAAAGACAGGCAACAAAGTAAGTTTTGAAATATCAGACCAACTTAAGCTCCCAGCTTATATAGTTGAAAACCCATAGCAATGTAAAGTGGTTCCTATTAACCAGCTACAAAGTTGATAATCCCAGAGCTGTTGTAGTTTCTGGAAAAAGCTGGTTCCCTTGAGGACCCAGTTGAAACTATTACTTCTAATTAGCAATGCTTGGCTTTGACTCTGATGACCTGAAAGGGGTAGGTAGATAACACAAGCGGTCTAATGACTTTGTGAGCTCGTGCTTTCAGGGAAAGGAAGCAGTTGGAAATGTAGAACTGAGAAACTTAATAAAAGACATAAATTAAAATAAAAAACCCTAAATTTACAAAGGACATTCTTGAACATGACATAAGTCCTATAGAGCAGTGGTTCTCAATCTGTGGGTCCCCAGATGTTTTGGCCTTCAGCTCCCAGAAATCCTAACATCTAGTAAACTGGCTGGGATTTCTAGGAGTTGTAGACCGAAACACCTGGAGAACCACTGCTATAGAGCAAAGTTACAAAGCCTCATTTTCATTGAGTTATATCCAGTGTTGTCCTCATATCAACTAATAGTCTTGGAAGGGGTTTCCCTTCTTCTTTGGAAACACTCAATCTATTATCATAGAACTAGTAATTTTTGTCTCTTTCTTACAATAAGCACATTTTGGCCAAATTCCTAGAAATACTGCCAAAACATTTGACCTTGAAAAATACATTTAAAAAAAACAGTTTATATTCCCCTTTCCTCTTAATGCAGGACTTCAAGGTGGCCAAAATACAGATGTTACAGAATCAAACTCTTGGCAGAAGCTTCCATGCACTACTTTTCCCCCCTCTAAAACCCTTTCTTTTTTTTCTTTCAAGAGAGGCTGCATATTGGGAGCCAAAGTTTTATCATACTCTTTGCTTTGCAATAAATGAGAATCAGTGGATTTGCGTGTGAATGCCTCAGTAGTAAGTCTTGACTAATCTCTGTTTAGAAAGTAAATACTTCCGCCTCCCTAAAGTTCTTTGATTTCTAAAGGACACAACTATTGGATTGTTGAGAGTCCCCTAGGGTTTGTTTCATTTAAAATATTGCCTGGGGCCTCCATTCGTATCCTGTTGCATTGACCTCTTTTTCAACCCTGTAATGGCAGCTGTACTACAAAGCTAGTTCTCTCCACCCTCTTCACCTTCTTAAGAGGTTGCTTTTCTTTGAACTGTGACCCTTTCCTGGCTTACCAGGACTGAAGGACCCCCCCCCCCCCCCATGGTAAGTAGCCAATAATCTTCCTTCCGTCCCAGTTCTTTTCCAAGCCATCAAACAAATGGGAAGCTTCAAACAATGATGCTGTTATTGTTTTGTTCTAAATCAACAAATGGCGCTGTTATATTAGCAGGAAAATACTTTTCTTGAAAAGTAGATCATGTAAGGTATTTAAAGTGTTTCTTCATTAAGTTTGTTGACTCTTAGTTCTATGTTGTTTTGCTGCATATATTTGTTTTATATGCTAATGATCAAACTTTGAAGATTGCAGTTAACCTTAACCCTTAAGATGTTTCAGATGAATATAAAAGACATAGTTATACCCCAAAGTCCAGGTGTTCTGGACCTGAACTCCAAGAAGTGTAAGCCACAATAAAGGATTATGAAAACTCTGGTCCAAAACATACAGAGGCCATTTTATACCACACAGATATAGCACTTTAACTGCTGCGAGTGCATCCTGTGGAATCCTTGTGTTTACTTTTCGTTGAGGCTTGAGTATCCCTTATCCAAAATGCTTTGGACCATAAGTGTTCCGTATTTCAGATTTTTTTTTCCAGATTTTGGAGTAGTTGCATATACATTTAAGCCCATGGAGGCAGAATCCATGTGGAGACTGGTCCTGAGATCACAAATGTTGATCTCGGGAGCAGTCTCCATACACCACATACTTTAAAAGATCCGGACCTTATTCAAAGATCCAGATCTTTTTCAGATTTTTTTTAACCTGGAGTAAATCTGGAAATCCAGGTTTACCCCAGGTTGAACCAGATTAGTCTGAGGTGTTGTTTGGATGCCTCCCACTAATCTGGGGAAAAAACCATGGGTTTTAGTCCTGTGTAGATGTGCCCTCAGCCCCTAAGCTGCAGTGGACTCTTAATTTTTATGGCACCATATTAGTTACATAAAATAACTGTATTTTTTCTCCTTAATTATGATTGCATTCATAAACTTTATTGGAAAATGAATATTCAGACAAAATCTTGCATTTTGCTTTAGTTATTTGTTCTACATTGAGAAAGGGAATGTATCTGGTGTTTCACCTTTTTTCAGTAATTCAGCCATGGAGCTGCAATATGCTTCAGGGAAAGGCCACCCTGGATAGTCTCCATGATAAAGAGGCCAGTGGAAGTTGCATCAAGGAGCAAGGCATCATGATGTGTTGTATGAGGGCTAGAGCCAAATGGTTTATAAGGCCTGACTATTCCCTGTGAAACTGTTTGGATCTTCAGTTCTTCTGAGCAGATGTCTCAGGTCTGCCTGGCTGGGGATTGTCCTCAAGGCTCAAGTGTTTTTATTCAAGAGAAGGCTAAGGAAAAAGTCAAGTATTGACACCTGGACTCAGCTGAGCCTGCACTAGATAGCTCCCTCTTCTTGCTCTTTCCCAGGGTCAACATAGTTAAATAGGTTTCAGTTTAAATGAAGTAGTCTTCATTCAACTCCATTATTGTGTGTCTAGTTTTGTTATTGCAACATTGGACATTAAATGAATGCTTCATCTATTGTGTATCTTTTAGTAGACTAGATTATAAATACTCACTTGTTTCACTTATTACATTGACTATGATGTTTAATATGTTTTCTTTTGTAAGCCACTCTGAGACTTTTTCTAGTGGAAAGGAACAGAATAAAATATATGATAACAGTTATCCATAAAGATGCCCCTATAGATTTAGAATAACATGGATGAGTGAAACTGGAGCATCATGCTCATGCAAGATCTTATTTAGGTTGCTGTCTATGATGGATGTCTTGAATTCTGATTTGAAATAGCTGCTCACTTTTTCTTTTGATGCTTTTGTCTAGGGTTTCAATAGATTATCCAACCTTGTGAAGCCACCTCTTCGTCCAAGAATGACACGCATCTGCCTCAGGGACTTGATCTTCTGTATGGAACAAGAGAAGGGGCTGAAGCATTCCTTAGCCTTGTACCAAGCTCTTTTGAAGTAACCACTAGGTTTCTTTTGCATTTCAGCTTACCATCATTCCTTGCCAAAGTTTACCTGCTTGTACTGTCCTGAAGTCTGTTCTGGAAAACAGTTTGTTGCAATGACTAGACTGTTCAGTGGTCAGTGGATCCATGTTTGACTTTTGAATGTCCTTGGAGACAAAAGGGTTTGGGCCCTATTAAGTTTCTTGCCAATCACATTTGTCGATATATCTGTTTGTAATATTGTTCCATGACTAATGTGCCGCCTACTATTGTGGTTAGGGAAGAAGAGTATGTCGAAAGTATTTAATCATGAACCAGCAGACTGCCAATTTGCCAGCATTTTGCCTACAGGAGTCAACCTCTCTAGATGGCCTAGTTTTAGAGATCTGCGGTATAGTTGAAAGAGAAACCACTTGGGTGTAGGCCAAAAAAGTGCCAAAGCGAAATCTATAATCTACTTTCGATAAAGGAAGAAGCCCTACTGGCATGGTTTGTGTTGCCAGCACTACTGGACAGATTTGCAAAGAGGAAGCCCTACTGGCATGGTTTGTGTTGCCAGTACTCAGGGCAGATTTGGAGCTCAATAAGTTATGGGTCTTTAGAAATATTTTTTTCCAAATAACCCAATGACAACCCAGTGGATGCAGTTAGCCAATGGGGAATAGTCCTTTAATTTTCACTGTACAAAGTGACTTAAGATGCATTTAATTTTGCATCAGTGTGCAGAATTTAAAACAGGAAAATATCCTTGATGAATACCAAGGTTAAAGGCGCACTCTGCTTTATGTAAAATATAGGATTGTTTGATTTCTTCCTTCCTGTGTTACAGACTGGGAAGAATATATTTAAGAAATATCAGGGATTTAATCACAAAACTTGGAAATTATTCTTAAAGGGGAAAGAAATTATATATGGGGCATACTTGCTTGCCAAGGCCCCCAGGCTCCATTCCCACAAGAATCAATGTAAAGAGATCCATTTACACCCCTCCAAAGCCCCCCCCCCCCAATGGGGTTTGGTTGGCTATTTAAAGCTTAATCCACTTCCTATCCTGTTTCAGATCCAGAATAGCCTCTCATTTTTTTTCCAAATCCAGAAGGAAACATCTGGTCAAGTTTTGTTTTTGTTTTTTGTTTTGGAAAAGGGACAGGTGCAACCCCCTATGTCTCTGCTTGAGCATGTGTAAATGAGGTGGAGGCATCTCCTAGGCCATTAGTAGCTGTCTGTCCCTTTTTTTACTTCTGCTTTATAGCAGAAGAGAAGAATTTACTGTTGCACTTGGGAAAGAGCACAAAAAAGTTCAGGGAATCAAAGAAATGATAATGCTGCATTTCAAAAGTTTCTGCTTATTTCTTTACACTCAGTAGCTTTTCAAGGAGTTGGTTCTAAAGATCCATGTGCAATCACCTTTAGCACTTTTCTATAAAGCCTCCACTATACTATATATTTAATGTGTTGCAACATAGCATAAGTGTGTAATTGAATGTGTAGGAATGACAACTGAATGTAATTAAAATCTTTATTTTTAAAAGGTTCCTAAGGCTTTTTGCTATGCCATTCTCTAAAATATATTTAGCTGGGGGAGAAAACTGTGAAACTTTGAAACACCAGGACTGCTGGCAGTATTTTGAGTTTTTAATCTAGCCATGTTTCCTGTTAGGAAAATTGTAAACAGTGTTAGTTAAAACAAGGACAGGATCTAAGACTGGACTTTGGTTAGAAGCACAGTGGAATCCTGTAAAGGGTGAGGTATGATGTCCCTTTCCCGTTGACTTTATATGTGAAAAATCTATGCCAGATTGCTAATGAACCTTCTACACCAGTGGTTCTCAACCTCTGGGTGCCCAGATGTTTTGGCCTACAACTCCTAGAAATCCCAGCCAGTTTATCAGCCGTTAGGATTTCTGGAAGGTGAAATCCAAAACATCTGGGGACCCACAGGTTGAGAACCACTGTTCTAGAGTGAATTTTGGACAGCTCTGGATTACAGGGAACGGGAGAGAAAGTATTTGATGCCCTACAGAATTGTAGTCCCAATGCAGCAAATTGATCGTAAATGCATTTTATAAAATGGTTTTCCTGACTATGAACCAGTAAACAGCAAAAATGTTTTGTATTATGAATGCTTATCTTTACTTTCTTTGTAAAGTGCAGCATTTTCTTGATGGTGTATTCAGTTGTATGATAGATGTTCCAAATTTATTTTAAATACTGCATTAAAGTAACTATTTTATTAAAAAATTTAAGAGTTTTTACTGTATTAAATATAAAGGGATGGCATTGCTACCTAAACACTGTATACTTATCTGAACATTCTCTTAGTTCGTTCCAGTTAATATTGAGTTCTTGCAGTTTCTTTACAAAGGGGGTCTGATTCAAACAGGTGAGACAGTTGTGTATGTAGGTATCTCTGCTGATTATGAATAAATGTGGGGATTGAGGGGGTCTATTCATTCTTTGAAAGGTCGGGAACTAGCCCGTCTTTCTTTATTTCCTCCCTTGTGGCAAGTGGTAGACATACCATTCCCAAGCAGTGCTCCATCCGTGCATTGGCCGAATGTGGACCTGTTTTCTTTCGACAACATAGCTGTGTAGCATTCCCTTTGCCTGCATAATTCAATGCTGTTTCTACCTTTTTCGCTTCCAGTACTGGGATTAGGCTGGAGGAAATGTCTTAAATCCTAAGCCTTGCAGCAATGGAGGGCAGTAAGAAACAGTGACTGTGTTTTACTCCCTTCCTTCATGCGCTTTTTCTGTAATAAACAGACCTGCAGCCATGTGTAAACAAACCCCAGGACACACATTGCTTTACACATGGTTGCACTGCACATCTGGTTGGTCCTCAGACCTGCACTCATCACTCAATTGACAAAGAACATTATCTTGAAACCAGATTAAACATCTGTGAGATAATTCCATCATAAAGTGAGCCATTAATTCCTGAGCTAGGGAGGACAGGGAAGTAGAGTGAATTTATCCCAAACATATCTGCTGACAAAGGGAGGTACCTGCTACAACTCTACATAATTTGAAACTCTAACCCTCCCTCCCATCAGTGTCTTGGATCATGTATTTCCTTATGGAGAGATACAATAGTGTCTTCCAGCTCCCCATGCAGGGACACGAGAGAAGCCTCCCACAAGGATGATAAAACATCAAAACATCTGGGCGTCTCCTGACACACACACACACACACAAAGCATTCCTGATGGAAATAGAATAACATGACTAACAACATCATCAACAACAACTTTATAACTCATCCTCTCTCTCCAAAGGCACTCAGGGACGTTAACAAAAATAACACAGGGCTGTGGTGCAGCTAGTTAGTAGCCAGCTGCATTAATTCACTACGGATTGAAAGGTCATGAGTTCGAAGCCAGCCTGGGTCGAAGTGAGCTCCCAACCATTAATAGTCTATCTTGCTGTTGACCTATGCAGCTCAAAAGACAGTTGCATGTGTCAAGTAGGAAATTTAGGTACCACTTTATGCGGGGAGGCTAATTTAACTAATCTCAAATGCCATAAAACCTTGCAGCACTGTGCATAAGAATGAGGAAGTACTCCATCAAGGACTCAGTGTCACAAGTGGACGGTGAAGCAGCAACTCCCCCTATGGCCATAATCAAGCATACCCTCATGAAGCCGGAAAGTTGGAATGATAAATTGCCTCTGTGTGTCTATATACAGTATGTTGTTGTATGTCTAATTGCATTGAATGTTTGCCATGTATATGAGCATTGTAATCTGCCCTGAGTCCCCTGCGGGGTGAGAAGGGTGGAATATAAATAATTTAAATAATTAATTCATTCATTAAGATGGCAAACATTCAATGCCTAACAAATAACAATCACAAAACAAAAAATAAAATAAACACTATATAACTTATAAACAAAAAAAATCAAGGGATAAGCTAAATAAACGTGATAAGTACAAGAAATCAACTCGATTCAAAACAATACATTAAAAGCACAGTATAACATATCGCATCAACAGGCTAAGGGAAGTGTCCGATATCAAGGCAAGAATATATTTCGAAATGCTAATCCTCCTCCTCATTTGATGCTCAGTGTGGGTAGATTCCAAGCTTGAGTAATTTTCTTACAGTTATTGTTACATTTGAATTACAGTCCTTGTTTAATGTGCCTCCAATTTTAATTCAAGAAAGAAGTGCAGGTCTTCTGCCAGAAGTTGGGTAAGCATAAGGAAACTTGCGTGGCCGGGTGTACCTTGGGAACACCCATTGTTTCCACTGATGTTAATTGTATTTTGGTTTGGCTGAAAATCATTTCATGGTGTGGCTTGCTTTACAATTATCAACCCTTTTTAAATAATGGAACTGAGTGATTATTTACAGTCTGATATTCAGATAACGATGCCTAATTTTCTCTGGATTGATTGCTACAATTCGAGATAGTAATGCTTAACTTGCCTCCGATAAGGAAACTCTAATTATTAATTAAACTGGATATATTGGGAACTAGATTTACTTGGAACAAATGCATTAGTTAGGTTAGGCTTCCTAGTTTGGTTTGATTAGATGGTGCAAAATTCTAAACATTATTTCAGATCTGGCAAATTGTGTGATAATTGCATTCTCTTGGGCACAAATAATATTTCCACTCAAGGCCAAATTTCCCCCTTTTTTTGGGAGGACATGGGTAAAATATTTATTCTTGAATTATCTCGCAGAATTGGTCTGTAATCAATATTTTACATTTCAGCCACAGACCATTCAGGACAAAGTATAAAACTTTCCAGTTGGCATGGTTATGATTGAGAGTGTAAAAGTAATATGTTTCAAATAAGATTGTTAACGATAATTAATTACTGGGTTGCTGTGAGTTTTCTGGGCTGTATAGCCATGTTCCAGAAGCATAGCCTTCCTGCCTGGGAGAATACTTTGATGGGAGGTGATTAGCTGGCCCTGATAGTTTCTTGTCTGGGATTCCTCTGGTTTTTTAGTGTTGTTCTTTCTTTACTGTCCTGATTGTAGAGGGTTTTTTTTTTTAAATACTGGTAGCCAGATGTTTTTCGTGTTGATGGTTTCCTCCTTTCTCTTGAAATTGTGCACATGCTTGTGGATTTCAGTGGCTTCTCTGTGTAGCCTGACATGGTAGTTATTAGAGTGGTCCAGCATTTCTCCCTACTGAAATAGTCTGCTGTGTCCAGGTTGGTTCATCAGGTGCTCTGCCATGACTGACTTCTCTGGTAGAGTTAGTCTGCAGTGCCTTTCATGTTCCTTCATTTGTGTTTGGGCAATGCTGCATCTGGTAGTGCCTATGTAGACTTGTCCACAGTGGCATGGTGTCCGGTAGACTCCTGCAGAGGTAAGGGGATCCCTTTTGTCCTTTACTGAATGCAGCATTTGTTGGATTTTCTTAGTGGGTCTGTAGATATGTGGTCAGTATTTCCCTTAAGTATGGAAAGAACACTTTTACTCTGGGTGGATCTTTGCCTTCACTCTCATGGCTTTTTCTTGGTCTTGCAGCTCTTCTGGTGTCTGTGCTGGAGCATCCATTGGCCTGTAGAGCCCAGTTTAGGTGGTTCAGTTCATCTTGGAGGAGGTGAGGTTCACAGATTCTTTTTTCACGGTCTGCCAGGGCTTTAATTGTGCCCTTTCTTGACCTGGGTGATGGTAGTAGTTTTTATGTAAGTATGTATCAGTGTGTGTAGGTTTTCTATAAACTGTGTAACCCAATTGTTGATTGGGTTTCCGGATGACTGGGGCATCTAGAAATGGCAGTTTTCTTCCATTTTCTTTTTCCATGATCTTCATGTGGAAGTTGTTGAGGTGGACTAGGAACTTGAGTTCTTCTCCATGGCTCCAAATGGTGAAGGTGTCACACACATATCTGAACCATATAATTGACTTTTTGTTGTTGTTTTCAGGGCTTGCTTTTCAGAGTGTCCCATGTAGAAATTTGCTATGACTGGGTGGAGAGGCCTCCCCAGGGCTACTCTATCTTTCTGTTCAATATAATTCATTGTCCCACTGGAAGTAGTTTGTGGTGAAGCAATGGTAAAACAGGGCTGTGATGTCTTCTGGGAAATTCTGGTTGATTAGTGCATTGGTGACTTCTACCAGGACCTTGGTAAATAGAGACACCACATTGAAACTGATCAGTAAGTCATAGGTGTTGAGCTTGAGGTTGTTGATTTTTGGTATGAAGTGGGCTGAGTCCTTGATGTAGTGTGTAGTGAGCCCAATATGGGGTTGTAATGAATTACTTTGGGGATTATAAGAATGAAGTTATATTTTAAAATTAATTTAAGGAATAATACAATGCAATGTAACAAATTAACTTTAGGAAGTGATTGTTTGTTTCCTTAGCAAGCAATAGAATGAACAATGTAACAAGTCACTATATTTTGAATACATTAATAGTAACAAATTACTTTAGGGCATTTTATAATATATAACATAATGTAATTTTTACTGCAATATGAACAGCTGAGATTTATCTTTAGAATAGTGAGAGACCAGATGAGTAAATAATAGGTTTGGATATTGTTTTAAAACTATTTTGCGG